GAAGGCTAGGGGATTACACACCTGCTGCCGCTGGTTTCAATGAATTTATCTCCTCCGCCGTGTTTTGGTGACGTCAGTTCTCTGCCATGGTGGTATCCCATACAAATGCTGACAGTTCGTTCCCTTTGCCGGGTGACCAGTGTAACGGGTGGGTCCTGGCTGTCTCTCCCAAGCCCGGTTTCAATCCTGTGGCCACTGCCTATGCAGGCTCCGTTGGCATTTACTTCCTTAGGATCAGAAGAGCCGACCAGTTTTTTCGGTGGGATCGTTAGTGCTGAGTCATAGTGGTTTGGCTGCGAGAAGCAGGCGAACGAGAGCTTGAATGCAGCCGATCCCGGTTCGGTGTGTGTTCTGAGAGGCCCAGACTGTTCGCCCAGATCCACGTCAGCTCTGCATTGCCTAGTGATCCTGAGCAAACAGCATTTAGACAGTTTACGACTCCCTATGCCCGTGAAGCTGAAGGGGTCAGAGACTTGATCTCTCTGCGCCCGCCGCCATGTTGGATATCTGGATCTATTTCTTTTGCTTCATTCTTCAGGGAAATCCTTTGTAATAAAGGAAATGTGCATAACCTGCATTCCTCTCTACTTGTCTTTTGCCTTTTATTCTGTACTTAGAAGAGCAATTGGAAGATTTGGAACCATGCCCCTGCCATGTGTTCTGTCCCAGTAATAATTTAGGCCCTGGGTTCTATTCCCAGGACTGCAAACAGTCCTTTTATATAATTAGTTAGTTTTATTAGTTATAGAGGACACAGTATCTTTATTTTGTTTATGAGAATCAAACCCAGTGCCTCACACATGCTAGGCAAGCACTCTATCACTGAAACATAATCCCAGCCCAACAAATATTTCTCTACCCATTCTGACAATTGAAATAGATAGTTAATTATCTCTAATCATCCCTTTAGTTATTTTATAAATACCATAGCCCTGACTTCCTTTCTAAAGCTATTTAAAGCACAAATTCTTATTTATTTATTTGTTTGTTTGTTTATTCRTTCATTTATTTATTTGGTTTGGGGTACTGGGGATTGAACTTTATAGATACATCCTCTACCACTGAACTATATCGTAGCCCTAAAGCCACCTATTTTTATCCATTTGTCTGTTGACAGATACCTAGGCTGGTTGCATAACTTGTCTGTTGTGAATTTTGCTGCCATAAATGTTTATTGATATTGATATATCACTCTAGAATGCTGATTTGAGCTCACTTAAACACATACCAAGGAGTGAATAGCTGGGTCATAGGGTGGTTCCATTTCTAGTCCTCTGAGGAATCTCCATACTGCTTTCCAAAGTGGTTGTACTAGGTTTTTCCCACATCCTCACCAGGGATTGTTAACAGAATGGGAATTTTTTTTTTAAATATTTTTAAATTGTAGTTGGGCACAATACTTTTATTTTTTAAGTTATTTTTTAAAATACTTATTTTATTTATTTTATGTGCTGCTGAAGAACGAACCCAGTGCCTCGTGCGAATGCTAGGCAAGCGCTCTACCACTGAGCCAGAGCTCCAGCCCCTTATTTATTTTTATGTAGTGCTAAGGATTGAACCAGCGCCTTGCACATGCTAGGTGAGTGCTCTACCACTGAGCCACAGCCACAGCTCCCAGAATGGGGATTCTTAAATCTTCTTTCCAAAATTATCTAAGGAAAGATTTTTTTTTAATATATATTTTTATTAATTATTGATGGAGTTTTATTTATTTGTTGATATGTGGTGCTGAGAAACCCAATGCCTTACACTTGCTAGGCAAGTACTCTATCAGTGAGTCACAACCCCAGCCCTCAGGAAAGATTTATAAAAAGAAATGCTTATCAAACCTCTCTAGTGGCATGATAAATGGAATAAACTTTGAGAATAAGAGCATTAGCAAAATAGTTCGGTACTTAGGAATGTTTTCATTTTCCTCAAATGCATTTAATGGAAATCAGAGGTATGACATCATCAATGTTATAGCAAGTTGGAATTGAGCAACTTGTTTCCTACTATTCCTTCCATTTAATTGTATTAAAAATGTTTTTGTTTTTTTTCAAATGAAGTAGAAAGCCATTGAAACTGAAAGATCTGGCTAAATCTTGATTAATTTCTATGATTTCTTCATCCTCTCTTCAAGCTTTGGTGTCATCCCAAGCACTCCTCTGGCCATCCATACACCACTGATGCCAAACCAGAGCATTGATGTCTCCTTGCCTCTCAATACCTTGGGCCCAGTCATGAAGATGGAACCTCTGAATAACCTACAGGTCAGTTTTACTTTACTTGGGTAGTATTAGATGATATCTTGCCAATTTTTCATTTTTATATAAAGAATTCCTTTGTAGTAGCCCATGTATCTTTGTTATAACAAAATACTTGAGGATGGGTATTTCATAAAGAAAACAGATTTATTCAGCTAGCAGTTTGGGGGGTCCAAGAGCATGGTGCCAACACTTGCTTGCCCCTTGGCTTCATCAAGTGGTGGATGGCATCCTGGCAGGAACATGTGTGAGAGGGAGAGGTGACGATGACCAGACAAGAAGCCAAAGAGCAAAGTGGGGCCAGTCTTACTCTTTTTATAACAACTTGCTCTCACAAGACCGGAGCAGAGTCCCATAAGGACTTCCTTAATGTCYTCCAAAGGCTGGGTACCCAGTGACCTAACCTTCTCCCACTAGGCCATCCTCCCTTCTTCAACACCAGCATAACTAAAGACCAGCCATAAACTGTTAGAGGACAATCATAGCACCCTTTCTCTTCCTTATATTAGTTGTGGAATAGAACTTGAAATAACTATGGAAAATAATTTTACTTTGTTTTTAAGAACAAAGGTTATACCTTGTCAGAATTATTTATTTATTCTTTTACTCATTAAATGTTAGGAAACCTTTTTCTTAGCTTTTTTTTTTGGGGGGGGGGGCAGGTGTACCAGGGATTGAACCCAGGGGTACTCAWCCACTGAGCCACATCCCCAGCCCTGATTTATATTTTATGTAGAGATAGGGTCATTGAATTGTTTAGCACCTCGCTGTTGCTGCTGATCAAGAACTGGTGAAATCTAGGGTGCCTGGCAGAAACAAATGGAAAGCAGCCCTTTAGCGACAGTTCCAAATTTTAGCATGCTTTAGGCTCCCAGGGGGTGGGGGGGAATTCAACTGAAAGTGAGCTCACGATTTAACCAAAGAAGGAAGGGAGGAAAGAAAAAGGTGTCCACTGTGAAGGACAAAGAAGAAATGATCCCCTAACTCCACTTAAAACTTGAGATGATAGAACAATTTGAATGAGACTGAATATCTTTGAAATGATGAAAGAAATACCAACTTTCCAATCAAGACAGGTAAGATCCCATTGTACTATCTTCTGGAAATACAATAGACAGCAACAGTAAGTTACTTACAGTTAAAACATTCTTCAGTAGTGTAAATTTCAATGCACCAGGTCTGTTTGCCAGTTCACCAAATACCTTATTGCCACAGTAATAGCCTGCTGCTTCTTTCAGCAAAGGGAGTAATGATTTGAAGAGTAGACAGGTGAGGCACAATATAACTTGGCTCAGACCAGAAAAATAAAACAAGATTTACTGTGCAGTAGGAATTGGCTGTTACATGATGAGAATAATGTGTTAACAGGCTTTTCCAGCTCAAATCCTGAAGCAAATAACCCAAATCTGCATCTGTTCTCTTTTCTTGAAATCCAACTTTCCACTGACCTACAGAACCTCAAGCCAATAATATTTGAGGATAGTCATCAGGCATGCAAGAATGCTTTCTTTCAGAAGTAGGAAAGCAAATTTGGGTCACAGAAACCAGGGCACATTTTCTACTCTTAAAAAGAACATAAACAAACGAATAACTTTCCTACTTGCATTTCCATTTCACCAAATCCCAAATGGAAATCCTCCTAAAGTTGGATCTTAGTTCAAACCACCCCCTCAAAAGTATTGATATGGTATTAGGACTAGCAATTTACAAACATGATTTTATAAAAAACAGGTTGTGGTAGTGCATACCTATAATCYAGCTACTGGGAGGCTGAGGGAGGATGATTGCAAGTTTAAGGTCTGCCTGGGTGACTAGGTGAGGCCTTTAGTTTTTACTTTGTCTCAAAGTAAAATTTAAAAAGGAAATGAGGATATGGTCTGGAGCTGGAGCCGAAGCTCAGTGATAGAACGCTGGGTTCAATCCTTAGCACCATATACAAATAAAATAAAGGCATTCTTTCCATCTGCAACTACAAAAAAAAHTTTTTTTAAAGGAATGAGGATGTATCTCAGTGGGAAAGCACTTGCCTACCATGCACAAGCCTCTGGGTCCAGTTTTCAGTACTGCAAAAAGAAAAAAGAAAGAAAGAAAGAAAGAAAGCATACTTAAAAGTTTTTCATCTGTAGTTAACTACAGATTCTTCACATTTTTCCCAGGGGTTCTTTTCTTTCAGGGATGTCATAATTTTAGTTCTGTCACTAATTAACATGTCCCAATGGAGAAGAAAAGCAAACAATTGGAAAAAAAAATTCCCTATGAGCAGTTCTATTTAACATCTTCTGGTAGAAGTTGAAACTAATGGCTAGCTTACGGTGGATGAGTTACTTTATATTTCAGCTTTCATTCTGCCCTTGTTCTGACCCCATCTAAACAAAAAGAATCAAAATTTTACTACAAGGTTAGACCATGTAGATGCAGATAACACTAGGAAAAAATAAATCAAGCATTTAAACATATTTACATAATGTTTAGATTCAAGAGCTTATGTAGAAAAACTAATACTCTTTTAGTACACCAGACCATGAAATTATTGCAGGCACTGGGGGATTGGGGAGAAAAGAAATTTTGAGTGAATTGTGCGTTTTTGTGATTTTTTTTTTTACTGATTTGGTATTAGTGTATAGGACAAAATAAACACAGTTGACAAAACTATAATAAAATACTTGTAAGAATTTTATTTAAATGTCCATYAGTAGAGTAGAGGGAAAGGGCCCGGGGAAGTAGGAGCAGAGGGAAAGTAATATACAGGGAGATTATATTGACCAAATTATATTATTATATTGTGGACATGTATGAATATGTAACAAATTCCACYATTTTATGCAACTATAATGCACTAATAAAATAAATATGGGAAAATGTCCATTATACTAAACATTGGCTTATGGTCTGAACAACCAATTAAAAATTAAGATTAAAAAGATACCATTCCTTCTTAAAATGTAAGGCAGATTATGCTTTAGATACAGGAATTAAACAACTAGTAGAGATTCAAATTTATAAACTTTTTTTTTTTTTTTTGCTTCATTCATGTTAGTTATAAAAAGTCTTATGGGCTGTGGGCATGGTTCAGGGTACAGCCTAATATATGTGAGGCTTTAGTTCAGTCCCCAGCGCACGCACGCGCGCGCACACACACACACACACACACACACGAATTTAATTTATAAATATTAACAGAGAACAGAGATTAAATTTAAACTTTCCCCTATTGGAAATGTCTCTTGAGTTTATATCATATAATTATATTTCTAAAAAAAAAAATAATGAATTTCCTCTGTTTAAATAAAACAAAAAACCTTAACAGATGTCCAAATGAATTGTCTCTAAATGATTTTAAATGACTTTGATTATTTCATCTGTTAGTTGCTTAGAAACATTTTCCCAATAAACTTCTTCAAACTTTAGTCACAAGTGACCGCTGCTTCAAGTCAGTGTCTGCAAGGAGATGTGGAATTATGGCATGTTTTGTGTTTATCCCGAGAGGAGGATGGTCATGGTCTTAGCATAGATGCTGTAGAGTTTACACAGCTTCTCTGCTTCCTTTTTCACTGGGATGTAGACTTTTCTGAGAACATTGATAGCAACATTCTTTGAAGTTAATACTTGCCAGAATCATAAAAGCACAGTTTGAAGAGTTGACTAGTTCTATAGTAAGAAAAACCTAGTCTCCAACCCTTTTTTTTCAACAGGGCCCCAATTTCCTCTTCCACAGAGGCAATCCTAATTTGCTTAGATGATTCTTTTGACCTTTACCTCTTTGTCTCTTAATTACATGTTTTTTTATTAGGACTTCAGATTTTAGGACTACATCTCCCCCTTCACTGCTATTATCTACACGCATACTTCCCATATTCCCATTTTCCTGATATAGTAACTTGGGAAGCTGATGCAGAATGATCACAAGTTTAAGGCCAGCCTCAGCCACTTAGTAAGACCGTGTCTCAAAAAATAAAGGGCTGGAGATGTAGCTCAGTGGTAGTGTGCCCCTGGACTAAATCCCCAGTACCAAAAAACAAAACAAAACAAAACAAAAAAATCATCTTTGAGTCTCCTGTCTGGAACGTAAAAGCTTTGTGCCTGCGTTCTGGGAACTATGTCAGGAAAGAAGGCTGGAGACTCTTAGCATTCACTCTGCATAAATTTACTTAATCCTCAACCCCTCAGCCTTGTCTGGCATTCACTTCTGAGTGCTGTATACTTTGTCTTCTGTAAAAGAATTAATCCTCAGTTTTGAACAGGGACTCAGTGTCTGGCAGTATAGAATTGTGGTGGGGAATCAGGAATCCTGGTGGCATCCTAATCCTCCTCTTTTTTTTTTTTTTTTTTTTTTTTGGTGGGAGGGTATTGGTGAGGGGTTGGTTGCTGGAGATCAAACCCAGGGCCAATCTTTCTTTTAAGGCCTACCCCTTGTTCAATTTCAAAGGTGGTTCCAATCCTAAGCCTTTTAAAGTTCTAAGGTATTATTGATAGTCTATCTGTTTTCTAGTACTAAGATTTTTACTTCTTGTTTTTATGAATTATGGCTTTAACAATTTTGTTTTCCTTTAATTATGGCAGAATTTCTTTCAGAAGAAAAGAAACTTAAATGGGGTTTTCAATGTACTGTGTTTTTTTTGTTTTTCCTAAGAGCACTGATAGTACCTTCTTAATTCTTCTTTCCTTCCTTCTATACTATTTTATAAAGGAGACTTAGAAGTGAATCTGTGGATGAAGTGTAAAGTGTGTGTGTGTGTGTGTGTGTGTGTGTGTGTGTGTGTGTTCATATATATATATAAAATATACATATTATATATATATATATATAAACATTCCTTTAAATATATTTTTATCTCTTTTTGTGTTTCAATCTCACATAAACACAGTTGAGGAAGAGGCTAAATGTTAATTAGGGAAAAGAAATAGATATAACATCTCAGTTTTTTTCTCTGAAAGTCTTCTGAAATAAGGCTCTGTCATCAGTTCTGTTTATTTAACCTTTGAATGATTAGGGCAGAAAACGCTGA